CACCCTGACTCTCAGATACACCCAGGTGCTGGGGAATAGAACATCCCTGTCCTTCCTCCTGAGAGGGGACAGAGGAAGGCCACAGCTAACTCTCAGCGAGGCCCTGGGAACGCCTGGCCAGGCTGCATCTATACAGTATGCTGGGAAGAGAGAGCTTGCCAGGAATTTCCTGGGGCAGCTCCAGGTCAGGCTGCTGGATCTAAGGGTTATGGGGGTGGCCTGGGCCTGCCCCCCACCCTTCTCTTCCCCTGGCGAGTCCCAGCCCTGTACATTCTTGGAATCTATAAGTTGTGCCGTGTTCTGTGGGCACCAGGAGTTTGCTTTGAAACCCTGTGGCACCAACATCTGTTAGCTCTTAGAGAACAGAAAGATTGACACAGAACTGCTGGGGCAGGCGGGTGGGGGAAGATATTAAGTTCAGGAGTATGAAATCTCAAAGACAAAGAGGAAAAACCCCAACCCGACTCCAGCCCGCTCCCCAAGGCCCCGCTTTGATGTGGTTTTACCATCCCCGGAGGCCTTATAAGGCATTGTGCCTGCAATTCTGGGCTCTGGGCTGGTGCTGGCCGCACTGGATGTGCCCGGAGGAGCTGGCCTCTCTTCCTGGGGCCCAGTGTGGGGTAGAGGAGAGGCTCCCAGGGCCAGCAGAGGGGACAGCACTGGGACTTGGGAGGGAGGGAGGTCTGAGCCATGTGGCCTGAGAGGCCATCAAGCCAGGCCACTGGGCAGGGGCAGCCTGGCACTAGGTTGGATGTGGCAGGAGCTGTGGAGATCCAGGAAGGTCTTTGATCAGGACTTGGAGCAGAGGCTGAGGCCAACTGTCCTGGAGGCCAGAGGGGAGGGGACATGGGAACCGGGGGCCAGAGTGATGGCTGAGTGAACAAAAGAAGCAATGAAGGGAGTCACTGCATACCAGGCCCCCCACTCAGGCTTCTTGTAAGAGCAGTGGTGAAGGTTGTGGGCTCTGGATCTGACACTTACTAGCTGTGTGGCCTTGGGCAAGTCACTTAACCTCTCTGTGCCTCAGTTTTGTTTTCTTTCTTTCTTTCTTTTTTTTTTTTTTTTGCTGTATATTATTCATTTAATTCATTTCTCTCCCACATGAAAAAATACATTCAGCTTATCCCAGGGTTCTCCAAAATTTTGTCTCATTACTATATCAGCTCAAATCTAAAATGTGATCATATATATGAGGTCCATGTATGCATGAGGTTTCTCAGGTGAAGTTCCTTAATTACAGCTTATCAAGTACAATAATTTTTCTTGATCTGTAGACAGTTCTAGAGGCTGGAAGTCTAAGACCAAAGTGTCAGCAGGTTTGGTTTCTTCCGAGGCCTCTGTCCTTGGCTTCCAGATGGTTACCCCCTGGTCTGTGTCTGTGCCTCAGTTTTCTTATCTGTATAGTGGAGATAATAATGGCAGTCCTTTGGTGAGTCTTTCAGCTTCTCCCAGAAGTGTTCTGGTAGTCATTTGATAATAATAGTAGAAGTAATAAACAACAACACATCAGTAACACTGGTGTGCTGAGCCCCACTCAGCACTTCGTATGCAATGACTTCCTTACTCCTGAGATGTCGTGACTGCTGTTGTCCTGTCTACAAATGGGGAGACTGATGTGCACTGGAGATAAAAGTCCTTCACCAGATAATGCAGCTTGTTCGAGGCGGAGCTGGAATTTGATCCAAGGTTTGACCATCTCTAGTTCCATACCCTCTGCACCATGGCTCCCAGCAGGGCTCATGGCTGCCAAGGGGTCTAAGTGCCTGGCTCCCAGCAGCACCTGCAGGCTGGTGCTGAGGGCCAGGTCTCTGGACCTTGAGGGCAGGGCCAAGTCCCCAAACTAGGGGAGTTGCTGTAAGTTGCCTTTGAATCCCGCTGGGCAGATGGGGGTACTTGGCCACTGACCCACTGGAAGTGCTGGCTGGGCTCTTTTTCTTCCACTTCTTTGAGCGTGATCCTTGGTTCCTGGCAAGTGCCAGGACTCTTGCCCTCCTCTGCTCCCGTGCCCACAGGAGCCCCAGTTCCACTGTATGAGCTTGGGCTGAGGCCTCCCAAGGATCTGGCTTGAATCTTTCTGTCCCCACATGCACTAAGTATCCAGAGCTGGTCACCTGGCCTCTCGGAGCCTCCTCCTCATTTAACTCAGGGCTCTTGAGAGACCTTTTGCAGAGGTTCTTGTGAGGATTCCATCGAGCAGTATCTCTTACACCATGAGGTACAGGGTGCAGGTGGCTGTCATGAGCATTGTTTGCCTGTCTCATCATCATTGTCCTTTTTTCCCTGAGGGGTGGGGCCATTTTCTTTGTGGAAAAAAAATGTTAACAATTATGCCTCTCTCTTTACAATTTGAAAATCATTTTATGAGCATTTATTTCTTGAGAGATGGGAAGAGCAGGGCTGTTGTGATTATAAAAGGAGTTAATATGTGTATGTGCCTAGCATGGTGCTTGACACATAGGAAATACACAGTAAGTGACAGCTGTTCTATTACTGTTGTAGTTTAGTACTGTGCCCATTTTACAGATAGGTAGACTGAGGTCCAATGGCAAGGGAGGCAGTAGAGCCTGAACACAATCCTGGGTCTGGCTCAGTATTCCACGTTGTCTCTGGCCTGGCAACTCACAGCTTGAGGAGCACGGATACTGCACATGACAAACTCTGGGCTATGTGGCTCAGTGGACGAGAAGAATTTTTGCCATAGTTGAGCCTTTGCTTGGCACAGTGTGTCAGTGGACCGTGGTGCCGAGGAGCTTTCAGTGTTCTACAGAACAGGGTATCATTTCAGCAGTAAGAGGCCAACCCCAGAACTTGCCAGAATTCTGCTTTGTGAGTATGTCAGAGAGCTTGGTCCTCCCATCAGAGAGCACTGAAGCTGTCATTAAAATGGTGACAATGGGTGCCTTGTCTACACACGAGCTTCGTTATAGGGGTCCCACATGGCTACCTTGCTGGTGGTGATGTTTGGAGTCTTTAAAACTCTTCCAAGCGTGCTGGTGAAAAGATGCAAGGACTCAAAAGTCTCGTTGATCCCGTCAGCCTTGCGGTGTGCGGTCGGGGGCGGCCCATGTCAGCACTGAGCCCCCCTCTGCAGAAGACCTCAGCGTGAAGACATTTGTGATTTCCTTGAAGGCTGTCGCCTGCTCCTATGAGGATGCACTGCCTGCCAGCCTTTCAGGGGAGGCGGCACCCGTCTTTCTTCGGCATGAAAGATGGGCTTTAATTGGCTGCCGGGGCGTGCCAGCCATCTAATGATGCCACCTGTGTGCGTCCCCTTCCTGTCACTGTCTCCCAGCTCCCCTGTCAACTCGGGCTCTGTTAACACAAACAGCCAGTTTACAAGCCCAGGAAATGTTCGGTGATTATAATAATTGGTGGAGGAGGAGAGAGGAGCCATCCTGACTTAAGGAATAAAGTCGCCTGGTTTTGAAGTAAATGGGACACCAGGAGTCTGAATGGCCACATTTTAACAACCTTTAAGAAAGAGTAGTAATGCCCTAGAAGGATTTGAAAGAAGAAAGAACAGCCAGCCCTAATCCACAAAATGTTAGCTGTTTGTCTTTAAAACAAAAAAACAGAAAAACAAGAGGCTTACCTCCAGCTGTGTCCAGTTGATGAGATCAGCTATACAAAGCATTGTTTTTCTTCTGTTAATCAAGATGAGGACTGGATTTTCTTTTAAGCATCTGAGGTGTGGGATTTTTTTTTTCAAGGAGAAGGTGTTTGTTTTCTTTTTTCTTTTCACAAAGAGAAGTTGATGACAGCTGCTGAGTTTGGGCTTTTTTATTGCTTGTCCTTTCGTGGTTGGAGAATTGCTGCCATAGCATCATTGTGGCTGTTAAGAGAGATAAGGTGGGGTAACCCTCCAAACCTTGTCTGTCCCCCAAAAGAATAGTATTTCCCAAAGTGGGTTCCTTGGAACATGAATCCCATGCGATGCTTTTGAAAAACAAACGTCCAAGGTCTAAATAGGTTTGGAAAATGCAGTATACGCTGGCACTTAGAGATTCACAGTGTTTATACCCATATTTATAACCATATAACCGTTCATGCTATTTATAACTGCAGTAAAAGCCCTGATAAGTCCTGCAGTAAGAGACCTTGTTTAACTTTGTTTAAAACAGTCTTCTTTGATCACAGAACTCTTCTTGGCAGAATAAATACAGAAGACAGTTTAACAAGCCCTTGTCTAGCTTCTGCCATATCTAGAGTCATCCTGCTGGGGTAGGTCAGATAAATGGGGCCTTTGTCTGTTGACAGCCCAGAAATTTCCCAGCCTGTGCACCAACCAAACTCCCTTTACCAACCTGCCAACACCTGAGCGGCAGCCTGACCAGGCTGGTTGGGAGGAGCACTGCCGTGTGGATGAGATACCAGACATTTTTAACTCACTGGAGGGAAACAGGCAAGGCGAGTGCAGGGATCAGGCTAGTCACTGGAAGGGGTGTGTGCCAGAGAAATATGGGAGACCTCATTGAAGCCCAGCTGTAGTCAGAGCATGCAGGTTCCTGAATGTTGTGCTGAAGAGCTTGGGTTTATGCTAAGGGTATTAGGGGCCCTTCACTGCACACACCAGGCCCTCTGGGCTTCTTTATAAGCCCACCAAGACAACCTTCCTGGGATCCTCTGCTAGAGGAAGGATCCCAATGGAGATCTCTTGTTGGGGCCTGCAGGGGAGGCTTGTCAGTCTTGTATCTATCAAGTTGGCTCCACAGGATAGAGGATGGACATTTTTTGATCTTGTCTTTGCAGTTCCAGGGTGGAGGGTGGAACTTCCTTTCTCAGAGAGAAGTGTGGTCCAGTGCAGTATTTCATGGTGGGCCGTAGGCTGGAAGGCTACTTCCTACAAAGCATCGCGATAGTTAACTTTCCAAACGCAATAGGAGCCACCTCAGTTGACCTGAATTTCCATCAGAAGTCAGAACAGGGTCCTCACCACGCTGACACCGGGTTCCCACCTGACCCCGACACTTTCCTGATGCCTCTACTTTGTCTTCCTCTAGGAGCTCGTGGGTGAAGTTTTCAGAGAAACTCTCAGCGAGGAGGAGGAGGAGGACTTTCGGCTGGAAGGTACCTGGAGTCCATTGCTCTCTTCCCAGCAGCAGCGAGGTGGGGAAGGGGCTGTCCAGTTGGCTGCATGTCCCATGTACTCCAGAAAATCTGCAGACGCAGTGGAGGACTCTCTGGCTCTGGGGGTGGGCTGGGAGTGAGGAGTAAGAGCAAGGGCAGAGCTTCCTGGGCCCAAGCCCCGATTGGAGCCCGACCACCTCGGTTCACATGCCAGCCCTGCGCTGTGTCAGCTCTGGCCTTGGACAGGTTGTTGAACCTCAGCTTCTCCCTCTGGGGGTAGTAAGAGTAGCTCCTCAATGTCTGCAGACCCTCAGACAGTGTTAGGCTTGTGCAAGCACCGCATATAGCAGCTATTCTGTTTCCTCATCTCTCCATTCACGTCTCTCCCCTGGTGCACAAATGCATGTGCACACAGAGACACACCCAGCCAGCCTCCACCTCTCTATCTGCAGCTCTCACTCCTTCCTTTCTTCGAGGGGCAACGTTGTATTATATAGAGAACTAGGACCCTAGAGTAGAGGGCCAGCCACTGGCGTGCTGATTCGACCATGGGAAGCACATCACCTTTCTGAGCTTTGGTTTCTACAATCGTATTATGCGAATAAGGGCTTTTTCCCTGCTTGGCTACCAGAGTTGGTGCAAGGAAGAGATGGTGTCGTGAAGCTAAGAGTGTTTGCCTGTTGGGATAGTACTTCCATTTTTTATTCAGAGGTAGAGAGGAGAATCACCAAACCAGGACAGCCTTAGGAGAGTAAAGACCTCTTTATTGAGGCAAGGGCAGATAGCTGGCTGGAGAGCCGGGGGGGCTGTGGTGCAAAGATTTCTGGAGGGATCTAGGTCTTGGAGGTCCTGAGAGCCTGAAGAGGAGAGCAGACAGTCCTAGAGGTTCTATAAGGGAGCCAGGACCAGACCTGAGGACGGTGGCCATATCTGGCCTGAGAGCTGTAGCAAATGTAGAATCTCGGCTCTACCGCAGGCCTGCTGAATCCGAACTGCATTTTCATAAGCTCCCCAGGTGACTTGTATGCACAAAGCACTTGGAGAAGCACTGTGTGAAGACATTCATCCAGTTGCCCGGAAGTTGGAGGCAGGCTGGGGATCCAGGTATCTGTCGAACTTCGCTCAAACATGAGCAGGCCCTGAATCAAGGGGGAGGAATCCCATGGGCAGAAAGCCTTGTCCAGGCTGTGGGTGTTTCCCTTAAGTGTGTTTGCCTGTGGACCTGGAGCTGCACTTGGGTTCAGTGGCTTTGATTCTTGTCATTCTCTGGGTTTCCCCAGGCCTCAGCTGTCATCCTTGGCTCCATGGAGAGATGCCAGGATTTGACATCTAGAGGAAATCTGGGGAGTCAGGTGAAGGTTTGCAGGATGCAGGCCCTGGAGATCGAGATGACCTCTGACACGTATTACATGGGCTTCAGCATTCATTCCATTTATCTACACACTTGCTCATTCACACGGCCACTTATTAACAAGTTCATTCTCTTGTCCATCCATCCTTCTGTCTATGTCAGCCATCATCCATTCACTATCCATCCGACAACCCACCCATCCACTCATCTGTCTATCCATTCATCCATCCACCATTCTCCTGTCACCTTCCAATCAGCCACCCACCCACTAATCCGTGGCCACCCATCCAGCAAACATCCGTCTGTCCATCCGTCTGTTGCTTCACCCATTGCCCACTCATCCTTCCATCCATTGCCTGTTCATTCATTTGCCTACTCTTCTGTCACTCATTCATCAGCCAGCCAGCCCTCATCTGTCACCCAGCCATCCATTATTCACCCTCCACTTCCCATGCTGCACTGTCTGTCCAGCATCCGTTCACTTATCTCTTAATCCATTTAACCATCCTCCATTTACCATCAGTCTCTCCATCTATCCATCATTTATTGGGTCCCTCGTTAGAGTCAAACACTACAGGCTTTTCTGTCCACTGGGGCTCAGTCTGAAGACATGTAATTGCTTTCACATGAGATGTTTTTGCCTATAAACAGACATGAAATGAGCCACAGACCAGTTCTAGCAGAGACTTGCTCTGTGACCTTGGGCAGGTCCCTCCTTCTCTGGGCTTCCCCCTCGTCCTTTGTAACATGATGAGAGGTGACATGGAGCTGGACTTGGTGGGTGCTCAGAGGACATGGAAACCTTATAGGGAGGATGAACTGCTCTGAGTGTAGCACTTGTATACACTGGTTGACAGGTGGGGGCTAAACATGCAGGGCCTGAGGGTCTCAGCTCCTGTTAGAGAAAGGGTGTGGGATTGGTAGTGCTTGGTCTGACCCCACGGCACACCAGCTGCATGTTGGGCTTCGGGGCACTCTGGGCACCTTACTGGGCATATTGGTACCACCATTGATTGGAGACGGGGGGCGGTTGGGAGCCACTGTCCTGCCTCAGTTTCCCAAGTAGGGGTTGGGCTAGGTTGTTGGTCAAGCTTTTCAGCACTTTTCTTCAAACAAAAACTTACACAGAAGCACAAAATGTAAAATAGTTAAAACAGGTTTCAGAAAGATGCATACAGTATGATATCGTTTATGTAAGAAAAAAAAACGCACCAGACAATCCTCTGTAATTTCTTGGGGTACCGCATATGTATATTATTGTGTGGCTAGGGACCTAGACAGACAGTAATAATAGCTCCTTCCAGACATGCGAGAAGACTAAAACTGGAAAGGGTGGTCAAAGAAGCTTGTAGAATTATCTGTAATAATGTTTTAACTTTTACAAAAAGAATGTAATCATGCATTCCTTGTGAAATTAAAAACTAGTGATAGTATTTAAAAGTGAAAACAATATAGAAACAAGGCAGTAAGAGTGGGGCTGCTCTGGTTTGAGCCAGGTGGGTGCCTGGACCTGTCTGCTAGGCCTAAGACCTCTTGGAGGGACCCTGGGCTCAGTGGCCATCTGTGGTTCTCTGGCCACCAGGGTGGGGGATGTAGCTGTGGATGGCGGGCCACCACATGGCTAGGTCTGGTGAGAGCAGGTGCTGCTGAGTCCTGGCTGTGGAGAACCATCCACCTGCCTTGGACCTGGGGCTGTGGGTGTCCCTCTGTGCTACTGGCCAAGGGAGAACAAGCTGAGTCCTGAATCTCCTCTTTGTCTTCCTGTTGGCCAAGTTCATTGCCTCTTGGCAGGCTGGAGAGCTGTTTAAGAGAGAAAAAAGGCCATCTGAGGCGTGAAGATAAAAAGAAGTCTTTTAGCCATCCCAGGAGAGGATGGCTTTAGCTCCTGCGTTGTTATGTAAAGCCGGCCCTAATCCAGCATCTTAACCGCCTTAACTGGCCAGCTGGGAGCGTGAGGGATGGGAGATTAAGGCTGGGCTTGGTGCGAGGGCTGGGGCTACGGAGCTCCTTTTGAACTGTGGAAAGAACAAAGTAAACATCAAAAAGTCCCAAGCTCTGAGAGCTGGTTGGGTGTGGCAGGGGTGAGGAGGGGAGGCTTTAGTGAGGAGGAGGGGAGCAGGACCCTCCTTCTGCTGACCCTGCAGGGGTGTGACGACAGGGGAAGGGAGATCCCACACTCACCCCCAGCACCCACCTGGCTTCCTGCTTCCCCAGCTCGGCAGGACACCAGGTGGTGGCAGCCTGTGGCTTGTTTCCTGGGGTGAAAATGGGTGCCAGGCCTGTTTGGCAGACCCACGTCACCCTGCATGGCATTGAGGAATCGCTGTGTCTGAGGGTGTCCTCCCCAACCAGAAGAGAAAGTCCTACAAACGCCTGCATCCCCTTCTCCCTGGGCTTCCTTTGCCTCCATCCAGTGCGGTCCCTGCCCCTGCCCAGCCTCTTGACTCGCTTCTCTATCTCACTCTCTGGCTTCTGCTTGCTGGCCCTCACATCCCTAGGTACCTCCTCCTTGTCTTTTGACCTCTTGGCATCTTCTATAGAAAGACTGTATAGAGCCTGCTGGTCCTGCCCTCGTAAAGAAGGCTCTCAAAGCCACTGAAGTCAGGTGGCCCCTCTCCCTCAGGGGCCAGGCCCGTCTCTCGAGGCTCCCACTGCAGCTGCTGGGCAGGTCCTGCTTTGACCCAGCCGCCCACTCCCCACTGGCTCGAGCCTGCGTGTGGACTTGGCAGCCCAGCATGACTCGGGCTTCCAGGCCTGAGGATGGGTGTGCCTGCAGTCACCAATTCTGCCACACAGGGCAGCAGTGTTGGGACTGAGACTTAGAAGCTGAGCAGCCTTCCCTCTGTGAGCCGGGGTCTGTTCAGCTCTGCACTGGCTTCCAACTTTGCCTTCCTCATCAGCCCCTGAGAGGCACTGTTCTCCCTTCATTCTGACTTTCTGGCTTTACCACAACTCACTGTGTGACCTTGGATGAGTCACTTCACCTCTGTGCTTCAGTTTCCTTGTTGGGTCCTCATAGCACTTCCTCCTCAGGGTTATTGTGAAGACAGTGACATAATTTATGTAAGCCCTGAGAACAGCCTGGGCTCAGAGTAAGTGCCCAATGTATGCGAGCTGTCATGATTCTTGTTGTTTCATGGGCCCAGTTTTCTTGAAGAGGGGCCAGCCCATGTTTATAATCATTTACCTAGTCCAGATCAAAGAAAGCCTGTTTTCAAAGCTTCTTTAATCCTATTAGGATCTCCGAATGCCTCCTTGTACTCCAAGTGTGTGGCGGAGGGTCTGGCATGCTGTAAGTGCTCAATGAATACTCACTAGAAGAATGAAAGTCAACACTGTGAAGTCACTGAAATCAGGTGACTCCTTCCCTCCGGCTGCTCAGGTCCTGCGTACCCTCCTTGGGGCCCGGGCTGGTCCTTCCAGGCTCCCAGGTGTGAGATTCATCACCACTGACAAAACTGAAGAGCCCTTGGGAGGCCGTTAGTCCCTTTCATTTGTGGTGGGAAAACAGGCTCAGAGAGGGGAAGTGACCTGCCCAAGGTCACACGGCAGACCGAGAACAGAATCCAGGCCTCCGTCTCCTCCTCATGTAGTACTTCCTGAACACCCTCTGCAGGTCCTGCTGAGCCCTGTGTTCACAACCATGAAC